CACCCGTCCGATAGTGCAAACAGATTTAGGTGTATCCCCTGCAGAGTGTTCGTCGGCTCTATCGACCCGGCCGCTATTCGTTCGTTGCTCGACTCCTCCATCGTGGTGTAATAAGGGGTGATGTCGAACTTTGCAATTGCCTTGACCACAGTTGGTTCGGTTTCTACAAAGGGATGCTCTGTGGGTATCGCTCAAGCACACAAAGCAGGACCCTGTCCTTTTAGCTACTGTCCAGCGGTCCATCACCTTCATTGCCAAAAACTTTGGACAAGTAACAAGCTTGTGGACACCTGAGCACAGTTTGCACTTAATCGGTCTTTGTATGTCATGTGAGAATAAGTTGGTGCTGGCCCAGTTGTGTGGGGATGGGGACCCCAATATCTATATGGCGCAAAGTTCGTTGAAGGCCTAGCGGTCCTGATGCTTTCCCTCGCCAGTTGACCGAATCGACTATTTGCTATGCGAGATTGGCAACCTATGAATTGTGCGAGTTCGCCAAATGTGGCCTCTCTGTTCTTTTTCTCGATTCGATCGGCCTCGGTCGCCCAAGCTGTCTGCAGTTCGGCAGGCAAACATCTGACAATCGATTCCAGCCTATGAATTTCATCCAAGTCCCAACGATATTCGAGGTGGTTTAGGGCGATGCTGCAGTTCTGCATCTCGATGACCAGGTTTGCTAGAGAACTGGTATCGCCTCGTGTGTGTCTCACTTCTGCAAGCATCCTCTAGTCATGTTTTGTGCCATTCGGAATGGTTGGCGGAACATCTCCTTTAGTATATTTCTAGCTCTCGGGTAACCCACTTCCGGATCCAGCATTGCACATCCTTGCTTAGCTTCTTTGGTCTTCCCGGACAGTAGTGTAGCAAAAACAGAAACATTTGCCCTGCATCATCGGTTTTGCATTCAACGACATTTTCGTACTGGTGAATAAATTATTAATATTGTTCGGGATTGCCGTCAAAAGGTATCAGTTCGACTCTTGAAAAATCGACGTTCACATGGGCATATCTTCTTTGCTTCGGGACTTATTCTTTATTCGGAGAGAAGTAACTATGTGCAGTCTCAGCCTGAGATGATGTTGTGCTGTTAAAATCGTTTTTTTGCGTTTGGCCTGTTCTAACTGCTGTCTAGCTAATCTCAACT